TATATATATATATATATTACACTATATGCATACTATATGCGACTATGCAAGGATGTATGCACCTATGCGTGCATGCGTGGATGCAAGAAAAAGAATGCAAAAGTAAAGATAGGTAACGCAAATGATGACAAAAGGAAACAAAAAGACAAGAAGAGGTAAAAAGAGACACAAACGAGACACGTATGAGGGGGTAAGAGACAAAAAAGATAAAAGGGGACGAACTTTGCTCCTCCAACGCCGAGCCTTCCACCAAGAGGATCTCCTTCGGCACCATCCACCTGTACATACACCAGACAACACATCTCTTACTGCTGCTGCCGCTGCTGTTGCTGTTGTTGCTGCTGCTGTTGCTGCTCTCTTCGTTGCTACATTTTCAAGCTGTCCGTGTTGTTGATGCGGCTACGGTTGCTGCTTTTACTGCTACTTCTGCTGCTGCTGTTGCTGCTGCTGCTCCTGCTGTTGCTGCTGCTGTACCGGTTCGTCCTCGTTTTGAAGAGACAAGAATTTTTGTCGTAAATCCCGCGAAGTTTTTGCTGGATTTAAATCCTGAAGACAAACGGAGGTGCCTATAAACCCCAGCTAGTTAATATATGTATATTTGTATACATTACATATATAACATACATATATACAGTATACATACATAAAACACACCGTTCTATAGAGAAGAACAGCAGCAGTAGCAAATGCAGCAGTAAATTCAGCAGCAGGACCAGGAGGAGCAACAGGTTGTCTGTCTGCCGTACAGCAAACTGTATATCTTCATCATCTTCATCTTCTTTGAATTTTGCCCTTAACATCGTCTCCTTAGATATCTCTAAGGGAATGTCCTCCACAGATCTATACGCAGTAGCAGCAGCAGCAGCAGCAGCAGAACACATCCACACACACACACACACACACACACACACACACACACACACACACACACACACACACACACACACACACAACACCCTCCTGCTGCTGCTACCACTGGTGCTGCTGCTGCTAATGCCATTGTACTGTATTTGTTGTTGTTGCTGCTGCTGTTGCCTTGTTTATGTTGCAGGCAATATGCTTATCCAGCTAACGCGCCCTGTTCATTTTTTTGCCTTTGTCTCTGCTGCTGCTGTGTCAGCCGTCGCTGTCGCCATCGTTGTTGCTACTGCTGCTGCTACTCTTGCTGCTGCTGCTGCTGCTTGCAGTATTTCCTCACCTGACGGTAAATGCCTTTCCAGCGCTTCCCTCTGCTGCCTCGAGGCCAAAGAGAGGAATGTTCTTCCTCTCATATACTGCTTTGTTTATGCGGTGTACAACCTTAGTCACTTTAACCCGCTTCACTATCTGCAGCAGCAGCAACAGCAGCAACAGCAGCAGCAACAGTGGGGGGCTTATGAAGGGATGGGATTTACGTGTGTGGTGCACTTTACTGCTATGTGCACATGCTGTGTTGTTTGTGCATATGCATGCATGCATATATTAAAAGGCAGGAAAAACTGCATGCAATTTTGCATGCATGCACTGGTATTTAAGAAGCCTAGCTGCAGCAACTATGCATGCATGCATGCATGCATGCATGCATGCATGCTGACCTTAAGGGTTTCTCCTTTAGCATTTTGTACATAATTAGTAATAGTCTTAATGCCGTCACTATCAGGTCTTGTCTCGAAGCCCCCAGGGGTAGGCGCGAGTTCCCCCAAGTCGCCGTCGTCCTCCAACTCGAAGTCCGCCCATTTTCTATCTGAAAGGCACACATAAACATACCCAAAGCCCCAAAAATACGCATGCACGCATGCACGCATTCATCCATGCAGGCATGCAGCATGGAGTAGTAGAAGATAGGAGGGCAGGAAGAGCTCTCTCTCCCTCCCCCATCGGTGCCCATCAGAAAAAAAAAGGCTCGCATGCAATATATAATCGACAAGCAGGTGTAAAGAGGCGAGGAAGATAATGCAAAAGATAAACAGATCGCGCCTTCGGCAGACAACACCAACTATGCACAATGGTAGGTAAACGAGGTAACGACGAGACCTGAGGGGAGCTACGAAAGCCCCAAAACTTCCAATATAATACAAAGGGAAAGAAAGCATACCAGTCGTCATCTTTAAGAATTAAAAGGGAAAATTTGGAGGCGCAAGCCAGCGGCTACGGTACAACAGATGCAGGCGCCCCTACAGTCTGTGGGGTGGAGTGAGGGCTGAGGCCGCAGATTTGAAGCTGACGGCCTCGATATATATAGATAAATAAAGAATGCAGCGAAAAACCGAAAAAAGAGGCGAAAACAACGCATGGAACCAGCGGTAGGAGCAAATGCTCATAGAGCCGTTGCATGCATGCAGTCACCGTTGCACAGAGGTTGGGGCTGGATTGCCTAGCCCGCTGCTGCGGTAGAATATGCAACTCTCTTTTACAGTTTAAAAAGAAAAACAGCTGTATGTTTTATTTATTCAAAGTAAAAACGGAGGAATTAATTGGACTGTTAGAACAATCTTATACAGTCACAACTGCTCCCGCTTACGCTTGCAGCAGAACGGAAGTTGGCTTACTTCTTCGGCGATCACTCATTTTATCAGTACTTTTTATAGTTTAAGTAAATAGTATTTAGTTAGCTCGGCCGCTTAGCACATATTTTTGCCTAGTTTTATCATTTTTAGAAGCAACACATTTCCTTTTGAGTTTGGATTCGAGCGTGCATGCAAAGTTCAAACTGGAGGGAAGCCAAAAAGAAAATTAAAGTCCGTCAGCTCCGTTTTCTGGATCCCTGTGCTTCCTTTTCTGCTCCAGTTATGCCTTTGATGCGCTGCGCCTTAAGCGGGTGGTAGGCCCGTTGGTAGGTAGCCAATATCTTGTACATCTGAGGGATATCCATCCTGATTTGTCTTGAAAAGATCGAGGATCTGAGGGATTCGGTCGAATTCATGCCAAATCAACGAAGGACTGGACACAAGTGGAAGCAGATCAGGTGTACTCATTTCTACGTCGTCTCCAAAAGTATCTCTCCACGGTGCATGAGCCTATTCACCTTTTCTTACTAGGTAAACTGCTTCCACTTTTCGTACGAGAGATGGATCTCTCATTGGGAGTCCTAAGAAGATTATTATCTAATTGCGCTTTTGCACATAGGCCTAACTAGTGTCTTCTAGGGGCCGCATTTGCGCTCCCCATTGGTTCACCCATACCCTAGGTGTGTGCATAGGATTATTACGAGGTGAACCAGTCGAGCATAGAAGTCATCAACGTGACCGTACTAACATTTCTAGAATACACTGGCATCATATGCCTATATTATTATCAATTCAAGCTTTCTATATACCGTCCTCGAAGCGTAGCGGCACAAACTGAGACGCATAATCGACTGGAGAGTTGCACCTATTTCCGGTGACTTCAGACACCAGATCCACCTCGCAACATATATCGTGTTGTGGAAGTAACTACCCAAAACTAATAGGAACTTGCATAAGAACTGAATTGACTCGAGGTGCGTCTGCGGATGATGCTGTCACCCTTTCCAGCCTCTTCATCACCGTGTGTTGCTGGGCTGCCACGACCGTCCCCTGGACTTCTATTGCCGCCACCCTGGTAATACAGCGCAGTATCTTACTTCTCGGCATCTATATTCTAAAATTATATTGCCCTGTTTAGTTTGCAAAAGACGCATATGCGCCTCTCCAGACGTCCTTCCAACTTTCTGAGAGCCAAACTTCCTCAGCTCCCGCTCGTTAGCCTTGGGGTCGTGGGGGCTGATCTCCACCTCCCCAATATCCATAGACGCAGTATCCGGATAATCTGCTAACCAACTTTCTTCCTATTCAGCTAGGATAGTGAAGGTGGCATCCTTCCTCGTCGATGAATTAGTATTCAATATTTCGGGAAAGTCGACCCTGTCACCAGTTGGTTCCCATTGCGTTGCGACGCAGTTAATGCTAATCTTCCTGAGGATGATAACCCTGCCAAAAAATGGGAAATTTGCTGTATACTGCTACACCTATATGTATCGTTGCATGTCAACTAGGTCGTGCAGTGGTTTTGGCGCATCGATATCAGCGGTTCATGCTTATCCTGTTCCGTACTGCCAGGATGGGAATAAACCTGCATGGCATCGCATGCCACTAACGAATCTAATGATTTGTTTTTCTTGTAGAACATTTTCTGCAGGACCAGAGATGCATATGTCTCGCTTATTTTCACTCAACAGTACTCCCACCGGTTGATATTCTTTCGATTATGGGGATTATGGGGCATCCTGGTCAATACGCACTGTGCCGGAGGTTAACACTATTCAGATTCCGCTAGAGTTTGTGATATTACCTGCATTTGTGGGGACATCTAAATCATCTCCTGTACTAGCCATTGGTTTGATTCAAGCAGCTGTGCTGTACCGTTGCCGCTCGCTGTTCCCATAGTCTCCCGATGATCCATATGAATGAGGAGCTACCAAGTGAAACAGGCATGCATTACCCCAGTCAGTAACCGTCGCAAGGTACAAAACAGCCAAAATACTAAAGGAAAGAGCTCTCTCCTTTAGTGTTTTGGCTGTTTGCATATTGCGACGCTCTCCAAAAGTGCGACTCAGCCCGTGTCGACGTGTCCTATGTACAGTGCCGAGATGCTTGGTAACTGGAGAGATGCTGGTAGCATGCGTTGCAGTGCGAACCGTTGCAGCTATCCATGCAAGGCAACCTCGCATGCAAGCACAGCAAGACATCCCCTTCCGCCTGAACCAAAGCTACAGGAAATTGCTGTACCTTCACTTGCGTGAAAACTTCCTACTTTGGTCCAGTAGGTATTCATGAACCAACGTTGGACCGCCTGACCGCCTATCCTACGCGCGCAGCATTGCAACCCCCTCTCCGACCCCACTAGGGCCCGTTTTAGATTCATGCAATGACACCTCATGCTACAGTTAAACACCTGCTCCGTCGTCAGTAAGTAGCTTGAGCTCGTGGAGAACTTCATGCGTCAGCTGTAGGCAGACCAGGCTACAGACCAGCGTACATTCCGTCTCGCCGCCTGATGCTGGGGGTATTGAGAGCTTTCTTTGCGGTCGCTTTGTTGCTTTTGTCGAAATTGAATAGCCAGTAACTCAATAAACTGCAGAAGTCTCAAGGTAACTCTTGAGTCCCGCCGTAACGCCTAGTCCTGCCGGCACCTGCTGGGGTGCTATTGCTGCTGCTGCTGCTACGCGGGGGCTGCGCTCCGACAGTTCCGGCCGGAGAGCTAGAGTATTGTCGTGCCAGAAAATGGGCTGTTAGGCCCTTGTTTCCTTTTTCTTTGTGACTGACTAAGTCAAGACAACCCCTGAGTGCACCTGAAGGGCTGAGCCCCTACAGTCTCGGCCAGCCGCTCCTCCGCGCGCCAGCCTTCGATGGGAATTTCTACCCAGGCACGGGAGCAGACTGCGAGGAGTTAGGTAAGCCTTTTTTTCTTCTTTCGTCCTGCGTTGTTACAACAAGGAAGAAAAGACTTTCCCTTGTTCTTTGGGGTCTTTGCCCGCCTTCCCTAACTTGCCGCTTCGGTTGTTGTTGCTTCTGTTGCGCTATAGGTGGACCCACCATAGTGAACGTGACGCTTCCGGTGCAGCACACGTGTTCGAGTCCTGTGGAGGGGACGGAAGGAGAAAGTAGCTGCTGCCGGTGCTCTCGCTGCAACGTGCGTAGCTGCGTGGGTCATGTACCGCGCACCTCCTCTCCAGAAGCAGGAACAGCAGCAGCGTCTGCAGCTGCTTCTGGGCAGCAGCAGCAGCAGCAGCTGTTCGCGCTACTGCTGCTGCCCAGAAGCAACTCGCTGTCTTCCTCCTCAGGATTTTCCCCCTCAACTGTTGTGTGCTCCTAGCTTGTTTAGGTGCACAGCAGCAAGTGGAGGACCATACTGCTGCAACTGGTTTTGGTGTTCCCTGTCCCCATGAGCCCTTGCACTGCCGCTTTGTTCAGGCAAGGCAGCTTCGTGGCTTCAGTTTACCTTTAAGTATATCTAGTGTCAATCTCCCACATTCTCTCTTCAGTGCGGACTGCAGCAGCAGCTACTACTGCTGTTGTCGTTGTCGTTGCACCTTCGAGTCAAGTGGCGACGAGTCAAAACCAACGCCAAAGCACCGGAGGTTGCTGTGTTTTGTCTTTGGATAGCAGCATCACTTCCAAAACAGCAGCAACAACGGCAACAACAGCAACAGCAACAGCGGCTAGCTTCCAGGAGCCGCTAGAGAGGGGCAGCTGCAACAGGGCAGCGGCTAGCCGATAGCAGCAGCAGCAACAGCAGCAGCACAGCCTCTAGTATTTGATGAGGGGGCACGGCCTAGCAGCAAGATGGGCATGGCCTCTAAGGCAAGCGGCCTCGCCGCCTTGCTGTAGCACCGAAACCCCGTGGGGTGCTGCTGCGCGGCATTTTGAGGTCTCTGCTGTAGCAGGGGCCGCCAATGTAGTAGCCGTTAGCGCACTAGCGACGGACAGCCGGATTGCTGCTGCCGCTGCAGCAGAATGCAGCGGCACCCAGCCCTACTCATCTCGGGGGCCGAGCCAGCTAGCAGCAGCAAGCAGAAGCAGCTGGAGGCTGGCCTCAGTTTGGCAATATCCTGCTTATGTGCTTGGAGTTGCTCAGGGGGACATGCGACAAATGAAGGACTTGGTGTTATTGATTCGATTTGTGTTGCTTCAACTTATTTAGTCTTTGTTGCTCCTACTTGTCTAGTTATTGATGTCTTTACTTAGGGTTAGAGTTAGGGTTAGGGATAGGGATAGGGTCCTATGCTCGTAAGGCCGTCTCGGTGGTAATCCGGCGGGTAATGTGTCGGGGGAGACCGGACGGTATTCCCTCAATATCTCTAGGGTCGGTTGAGATGTTGCTCTAGCCCCTTCTGAGGCCATCCATGCATCAAATAGGGTATGCTGCAAAATGGCACTTGGCCAAGGGGACTCCCCCTCTGATAATACTGGGTCCGTCGTGATTACTGAGACTGTCTGCTCCGCTGCTGCAGCGGAGGCTCCCATAACCGCCCAACAATGCTCCCTGGCCTATATGTGGCCCCATCTGGCCAATCATGGCCAGGAAGCATCCCCCATATATAGTGCGCAGCCGTCCTAAGTTGCGCCTGCTTATCGTCTCATAG